TCCACCGAGAATCCAAAGGGCACAGCCAACACCCAGAGCCAACACTCAGAGAACAGAGGATTATTTTCAAGTCTTGAGAGCTAATATAAATTGTTCTGCTGGGTTTGGGACTTGCTTGGTGCCTGTTATCCCTTTTTTTCCTTCAATTTCTCTCATTTGTAATGGAAATATATACCTTGTGCCTGTTGCACTGTTGTATGTTGGCATCAGGTTTCACAGGTTCTCAGATAAAGAGGAATTGTGCCCCAGGATGGACTATGCCTAACGTCTCATTCATATTTGATTTAGATTTTTCAGAAAGTGAGATTTTGGATTGGCATTGATTTAAGAATTTTGGGATAATCTTATGGGGTGAATGTGTTCTGCACATGGCAAGGACGTAAATTTTTAGAGGCCAAATGATGGAATGTTATGGATTGAATTGTGTCCCCAAAAAATATATGTTATAATTCTTAACCTCTATGTGTGTGGTCATAATCTCTTTGGCCAATGGTTGTCTTTATTATGTTAATGAGTCAGGATTAGTGTAGGGTGTTCTTGAGTCAATCTCTTTTGAGATATAAAAGAGATCAAACAAGGCAGTGAACTAGCAGGGGGAAGAGAGATGCCAAGCTACATGAGATTGCCTAGGAGCAGAAGCTCAGAAGAACAAAGACAGAGATAGATAGAACCAACAGAGATAGAAAGCCTTCTCCTAGAGCCAGCACCCTGAATTTGGACTTCTACCCTCCTAAACTGTGAGAAAATAAATTTCTGTTTGTTAAAGCCATCCATTTGTGCTATTTCTATCACAACAGCACTAGATAATTAACACAGTTGTGTCAAGGGAAAGAAGCCAGTCACAAAAGATCAAATATTGAATGATTCCATTTATATGCCCCAAAATAGGCAAATCTATAAAGACAGAAAGCAGATGATTAATAGTTGCCAGGGGCTGGAATTGACTGCTCAAGGGCGTGGTGTTTCTTTTGGAGGGGTGAAAATGTTCTGGATTAGATTGTAGTAATGGTTGCACAGCCCTATGATTATAGTGAAAGCATTAAACTGTGCACTTTAAATAGATGAATTGCCCATGTTTAATCAAGTATTTGTTTTTATTATTGAGGTGTAAGAGTTCTTTATATAGTCTAGATACAAGTCCCTTATCAGATATGTAACTTGAAAATGTTTCCTCTTTCTGTGACTTTTCACTTTCTTGATGTATTGTTCGCAGCACGAAAAACAACTGAATTATCTCTCAATAAACTGTTAAAAAAAAAAAAAAGGAAAGGAAAGGAAAACAAGGCACATTGTGCTGGAAGACACAGAGAGGTTGACCCACTCCTTCTGTCTTCTCCAGTTACTTTAATACACTCCCTTACACCCTCGTTTCCCTGACCAAGTCTTTCCTATGTGTACTAACCTTCCTGGCACCTGGCTTTTCTCTGAGAAACTACATCGTCTGCAGCCCTCTCCTGTGGAGCTTGCCCAGTCCTCTTCATTCTCTACTCTCAGGTTCTCCAGCAGGGCTGCAGTCCTCTCCAAGTCTCAGATAGTCTCTCAGACCACAACTCTTCAGCCTCTTGCTAAAAAGTAAAAATAAAAACTTTCTTCTCTGAGGCTAGTATCCTGGTTATATCATTCTCTATCCCCCTTCATTGTCATTACCAAATTCCTCTCACATTTCCTTATTCTCTGATGACCAGGTGTTTGCCTGTTTTCCACTCTACCCAATGTCCTGCCATTCTGGACTTCTCTGTACACAAACATGAGTCTGGGTTCTCATTTCCTGTACTCCACGTCAGCCATCCACCTACTAGACCTCATCACCAGAGTTCTTTTAATTCTGAAATTTTTAATTTATGTCATTCTCCATCCTCACCCTCCTATCCTTTTAGTTTTCATTCCTTACTCCTAGTACACATATACTTCTACTCCATTGAGACTTCCAGGCTTTTTATCTCCTCTCTTTATAGTCTGTCAGCTCTCCCCTCTCTTTACTTCTTTCCCTATCTAGCTCAGACCATACCGTCAATCACTTGAATTCCTCTCTTGCCAACATTAAATTCATTGTTCAAATGTTCTTCTATCCTTACCACACAGAATTACACCAACCCTGCAACTGTCCATTTATTCCATGTTTGCATGTGTATTATTGTGAACTGTTGGAGAAACAAACAAACCAAAAAAAAAAAAAGCATGAAAAGGGCATATTGGAGCCACCAAAAATTCTTGGTTCCCAACCTTTATTATGATCTCAAATCTGTTCCCATCCTCCAACACTACTATATGGAAACCTTTCCACATTCCTCAGACTTTAAATCTAACCTCTTTCTGTTATCTCTGAACACTTGGCCTCACATCCTCCTTCAGAGAAGGTAGTTAAATAACTTGCCCAAAATCAAGTACATGTGATCAACGCTTCTCTATTATTCTTCTCATCTGTTTTCGGGTTGGAAGAACTAGTTGTGGAGTCAGAGTGAAGTCTGAGAGGCTTCCCATGGTTGTGTGTTCCAAACCTAGGAAAACTGATCCTCCTGCTAGAGACCCTGGGACTTGAGGATGGGGAACAGAGCTCTGAGAGGCTCTTGTCTTTCTTTCTCTATGGGCCTCTCCTTTTCTCTACCCTAAACTCTGCACCTATTTCTCCTAGGAAGATACTTGATAAGGCAAGGAAGCCAAGATCCAGGGAGGAAATTCAACTTCAAGCCAGGACTGGGGTCATTGGAGCTGGAGGTCCACAAAAGTAGCCAGAATGGTACAAAGAACCAGCAGAGACTTCCAGCAAGCTGTAACCAATTTGCTATTTCCCCTCTCTGGGGTTCAGCTTCCTCATCAATAAAAATGGGGTATAATATTTCTTGCCCTGCCTGCTTTACAGGACTGTTTGAGGTACAATATGACAACAGTCAACATTTATTGAGTGCCACTTCTGCACTAGGTACTGTCTTGAGTGCCTTCCATAATCCTTGCAGCCCTATTAAATAGGCATGTTGTTTCTCCTACCCTTTTTGCAAAAGAGGAAACTAAGGTTTGGAGAACTAAGTTCCTTCCCAAAGCCTCCAGTTTCAAGTGACAGATCTGAAATTTGAACCAAGGCAGGCTTTTGAGCCCTTCAGAGCTGTGAGGCCATGGACGAGAGAGTGTTGGTGAACTCTAAAGTATGATCTAAGCTTTGTACCCTCTTGGACGTGGATGTACTGTACAGTACACAGCTGGTTTTGATTGGGATTGAAGGTGGGTGCCTGGTGGAGAGCCTTTTCCAAGGAGAGAGTTGAACAGCTCTGATGGATAAAGTGGAAGGGCTGTTCCCACTACACTGATTTGATCTGATCTCCATGGCTTGGGTGGAAAGAAGGGGGCGGGGCACAGTCTGAGTGGTTCTTTTGTGGAAGATAACTCTAGGGCAGGTTGAAGTGGAAGAGGAAGTTCCTGGGGTATCAAGCCAGAGCAGCAACAGTTGATTCAAAGCCCAGATCTTCAGCAGGAAGGAACTGTGACTGGGCTGACATGAGCTTCTCTGATGGGGAAGGTAGGGTGCAGCATTGGTTCTGTCAGAACTTTCCAAGAAACCAGGGACACACAGCCCAGGAAATAAGTGAGTCTAAAAGCCAGCTCCACCTGTGACCCATTTGCCCCCTACCTCTTTGCCCTAGGGTTTCCAGCCACCCAGCTTTGACACTGTTCTCCCTGTATCCACAGCCCACTCTTTTGGCTTCCTCACACCTCCCTTCCGGGCTCATTCTCCTCTCACACACACCAGAAGTCTGTCTGCCGTGGCAGCTCCTTTGTTTACTTCCAGAGCTCCCAGCCTCACCACCAGCCAAACACAACGAAGCCTAGCCAGGAGGGCTAGGCTCCAGGCTCAGTCTGGCCTCTCAGGGACAGGTAACAGCCTCCAAGCCAAGGAGGCAGCTCTAAGGTAGGCTGCTCCTTGTACTGGGTTCTTGCTTCAGCTCCTGACAGCCCAGGTTTCAGGCCTAGAGGAAAGGGACACAAGATCTGCCCATAGCTGGGCAGGAATCCCTACTGTTGAAACAGCTTGGCTAGGAGCCGTGGTAATCAAAGACCCAGCTGGAGAGAGGTGGGGAAAAATTTGAGGCCCCCTGGGTAGGACTCAGAGGCCTAGACTCCTTTTTCCTGGTCCTTCCTATAACTTTCTTTAGCCAAGTAGAATCTGGTCCTGAGTCCTCAGTCTAAGGACCCAGCCCCCGCAGGTTTCTCTACCAGAGGGACTTGTGTTCCCCTCCCAAGAGTTCATGTCCCACGCCTCCTAAATGATTCTAGTGAAGAAAGGGAAGTGAACATTGACTCTGGTCCAAGCCCCAAGCAAGAAACATTGTCAAGATGTGTCTGGCATTGGTCTGTTGGGGTTATTGGGGAGGTTACTTATTTAATGTGTAGGCTCTAACTGGGCTTCTGGAGCTGGGGGTGAGAGGGTGGGAGGTCATGTGAGCAGTGAGGAGTAGTGAGGGTGCCAAGCTGGAGGGTAACAGGGCCATAAACAAGGTCATGCGAGGGGCAGCGGTCAGTGGCAAAAAGAAGATGCCCCACTAGGAGAGGAGAAGATTGCCAGCTGCCCAGGTTCCTTAGTGGATAAGAAAATGATGGCCCTTTAAATGGTGATCAGTTAATTCTGTGAGTATGTGGAGGTGCACAAGGGACCAGAGCAGACACTGATGAAGTGGACATGATTCTAGAGGAAATGAAATCCCCAATTTTCCTCCCATTTAGAATCTGTTTCGGAGACAACTGACTTGACTGAGGAATGTCAGAAAGAAAACTGAACTCTGTTGCCAGGCCCCAATGGAGTAGATGGAGCTCCAGACCAGCAAGCCCTTGGAAGGAAGAGGAATGGGGTTAGAGGTGCTCAGCCAGTACTCTCTGTCCCATTCTGCTTCAGTTTCCATTGTGGGGGTGGGGAGTGGTTCTTTACATGCAAGGCAACCCTCTCCGCCTCCCTGGATCAGTAATTCTTTGAAGGGTCACTGGTTCTGGAGTAAGTAAGAAATTTGCCACAGTTTTAGGCAGAATTTTGCTTTTTATCTCATCAATGTACATTTTAATCTAACAGTCTAACAGCCTTATATGCCTCACCCCTGCCCAAGCCCTCTCTCCCACTCTCCCACCCCTACCCAATCAGCATCTCATCTGCCCTGGGGGCAGGATGTCACCAGACACAAAGGTGATTCAAGGGCAGTGGCACCTGTGGCTCTCCCAAGGGGAGCTCAGGGACAGTACCAGATCTCCCTAAAAGTCCAGAGACCAAGGAGGTCCAGCTAAAGGAGAGATCATGGGCTCAGCCTCATTGGAAAATACCGTCTCCTGGGTCTCAGTCCCACTCAAAGTCTATCTCCCTGGGCCAGAGCGTGTCCCTGCCAGTCAGAGCAGCAGAGGGGCAGAAATCCTCCAACAGGGGGACTTGTGGATGAGGAGGGACCTTTAAGCCCAAGTCACACAGAACGTGAGCAAAGCTGTCGGAATCCCTTTCATTCAGGCTGTGTAGATACTCCTAGCTGCCGTTTCCTGTTTCCTGATCTCTCTGTGATTCCAGGAAAGCAAGGGGGTAGGGGGGATTCTTGTGACTGGCATCCTGGGGGTGTGCCACCCAAGAAGTCAGAGGGCCAGTGCTGCTACCTGCAGCCACAAGACTCCACGACCATGTCCTCATACTGTTTATAGACCACGTTGTTGGCAGAGTCAATGAAGAGGATGCTGATGGGACTCAGCCGTGTGGGCACACAGCAGGTGGGTGGTGTGGACTCAGGGTCCATTGAGTTCATCAGGGTCTGGATGACCGCATGGTTCGTGGGCTCCAGATGGGAGCGTAAGGGGAACTCACACAGCCCCTCACAGTGGAAGGCCTCGTACTCAAGGGGTGCAATGATCCAGTCATCCCAGCCCATGTCCTTGAAGTTGACGTGCAGTGCCTTCCGACTGCAGCGGGCTTTGGGGTTCTTGCTGGGCCGCTTGCCCTGGCGATTGGCCAGCGGGGCCCGCCGTTTCCGCCGCTGGTTGAACAGGTACTCATATACAGTTTTGTCATCCTGGCCCGAGCGGGCCTTAATCTCATTAAAGAATAGGTCCCGTTTCTTGGTGCGGCCAAACACCAAGAACAGGGCCTTCTCGTGGACCTGTCGGGCAGCCCGGTCAAAGCCCAGGCCACGGAGGTCCACAGCCCGGCCCCGTTCCCAGGCTTCTAGCTCCAGGCACAGCTGGGCCGAGTTCTTAAAATTTCGGAAGAGCTTCCAGATGTCGAACACCTCCCAGCCAGACCCACCCAGGCCTGGCACAGAGCGCACATCCAGTAAGGCTGCCGGCTGCCGGCCGCTGGGGCAGCTGGACAGCTTCAGCTGGGCAGACCGCCCGCTGCCGGGGGCCGCTGGCTTGGCTGTGTCCGAGGGCTTCTTGCGCAGGATCCGCAGCTCGGCCCCCAGCAGCCCGTCCTTCTCCAGGGCACTTATGTCAAACACGTACCTCTGCTTCCTGACCACGGGGCCTCGGTCATCTAGAAAGAACACCCAGAAGTCATGCCGTGCACTCTTAGCAAGTGAACCAGTCACCTCGTCGTCTCCGCGGAGGGCCACAGAACTAGCTTTCTGTAACCTCTTCCCTACTGTGACAGGGGCCAACACCCAAACCACTGAGCCTTTTACAAAATGAGGCATCTTCCTACCCAGCAGACCAAGTAGGGGTGTTTCTCTGTAGATGTGGTTGTGAATGATCTGGGTGGTTCTTTGTGGTTCTGGGTGCTGTGTCAATGATCTACGCACATCAGAGATTCATCAACTTTCTAGCTTGCCCTCTACACGTCCCTCTCTCTGTCATTACTTAATTAGACACTTAATCTGTGAGATAGGTAGGGTGGGTATAATTTCCCATGTTCGTAGAGTAGGAACCTGAGGCTCAGAGAAGTTAGGTGACACAGCTAGAAAAAAACAAGGTTGGAAATGTAGCCTAGAACTTTTTGTATCTAGTCCGAGCTGCTTCTGCTATACCTTAAAAGAGATCTTGTGTTGTTATGTGCCGTTGAGTCAGACCCAACTCACAGCGACCCCTCCGTGGGTTTCTGAGGCAGTATCACTACGGAGGTAGACTGCTCCATCTTCCTTCCAAGGAGTGGCTGGTGGGTTTGAACCGCCAGCCCTCTGGTTAGCAGTCAAGTGCCTTAGGCACTAGGCTACCAGAGCTCCTAAAAGAGATCTTAGTGCTCTCATTTTATTGATGAGGCACAGAGAGGGCTAGTGACTTGCCTAAGGTCACACAGTGAGTTCATGACAAAGCTGGTCTACAGTTCTGTTTTCCCAAGCTTCCCAATCTAATGATTTTGTTGTATGTGTTTTACCCTACTGAATATGTGTGTGTGTGGTATGTGTGTATGATTGGGTTCATATGTAAGATAACATATATGGCATGTTATGTGTATGCACGATGGGGTGTTTATGAATATTTCAAGGGTGTGTGTGTATGCATGTTTATGATCTATCTGTGTGTATGTAAGAAGTATCTGTGTGTGTGAGTGTATGTGTGTGTGTATGATTCAGCATGTGTACCTAAAATTACAAACGTATACAGGAGGCTCAGTACTATGTCCAAATCAGCACGCCCTCCTTCCAAAATACCAATTTGCCATCGGGGAGCTTTCATATATTCTCTAGAAGGTGACTAATTAGGCCTTTAAACTGCCCATCTCCCCCTCCCCAAGCTCCCTTAGTGCTGGGGGGCACAAGGACTTATTTTATGAGCCCCCAAGGGGTCACAGCTTTCCCTGGCTGGGCAGACAGCCAGGCCACCTCCCCCACCTCAGCCAGACCTGCTGCCTCAGTGCCTCCCCCATCTCCACCCCCTATCATTCCCCTACAGGCCAGCTCTAATGAGGAGCCTCTCCCACTCTGACCCCTCCCCCACCCTGCCAGCCAAAGTCCTCAGACTTCCGGAAGCTGAGTGTATCAGCTTTGAGTAACCTTAACAATCTGCTGGTGCAACCCCCTCTTCACACTTACGGAGAGGAGAAACTGAGGCCCTGACCCGGGAAAGAGCTGGCTGAAATCACACACAAGTTTAGAGAACCAGTCAAGACAGTAACACCTGGTGGACAGGGAGAAATGAGGGGACTAGGTATTCTTCTGGCTTTATGATGAAAACTATGTGTTTAGCTCTCTCAGGACAGAACACATTTTAAAGGCTCTCAGAAATCATCCGTTCCAACCCACATATACTTGAACAGATAGAGAAACTGAGATCCCAGGGAAGAAGGGCTTTCCCAAGGTCACACTGTGAGTTAGACCCTAGGTCTGCTGCCGCCCCATAGAAATAAACATTTTTCCAGGACTCCAAGATGTCCCGTCTACTGTCCTCATCTACTGTTTCCTCTGCCCCCTAGCCTGAGGGCAAAGTTGAGAAACTCTAGAGATTCGTTTCTCTCTCTGCCATCTGAGAAAACCTACAAACCCCTAGAGCCTGGGAAGTTTGGCCAACTCATACAGGCCCAGAGCAAGGAGTCTGGTCCCCAACTCTGCCAAGAATTGGCTGTGTGATCCAGAGCAGGTCTTGTCTCCTTTCAGGACTTTAGTGACCCCTTCTACACCTGACAGGAATTGGTCATGGTGATTCCTAGGTGCCCTCTAGCTCTGACATGGCATCAGTCCAGGACCTGGTAAGCATGAGCTAAGTCCCAGACACCCACCCCAGGCCAGATGCACACACCATCTCCCACCAGCGCAATGTCAGGGCTCTGACAGCCCCTCCATGCGTGCCTATGCCCCTCCCTCAAGAGCCGTGCCCCTGCAACCCCGCCCCCTCACCTTGCCCTTTGTCAATAAAGCTGGTGATGGTGTTGGCCAGGCCAGCTTCCAACTTCACGCTGCTGTTGCCTCCCTTTCTGTCAGCATCGGACAGCGTCCTGTACAGCGAGAGCATGTACTCGTGGGGTGTGATGGGGGGCGGGCGGAACGGCTCCTTGGGCTCTCGAGAGGGCCCGGGCTCTCTGGCCTTCTTCAGCAGGAAGGGGCTGGGGACAGATCCTGTCTTTGGGAGTGCCTTACCCCCGGGAAGCTGTCCTTTTGGGGTCACAGTCCGCGCTGCAGCCTGCCTTGTCTGGGGAGGGTGTCCTGGCTTGGGTTCAGGCCCACCCGATCTGGGGGGTAGCTTTTTGGGTTCATCCTTCTTGGGCTGTGTCAGGCCTCCTGTTTGCCCATTGCCCCCCTTTGCCCTGGCATTGGTGGCCCCCCCACCATAGCTATGACCCCCTGGCCTGAAGATATTCCGGGCCAGGGGGAGCCTCTCCTTGGCCTCTGCTTTGGCCAATCCTGGCCTGGCCCCCTGGGGTCTCTGGCCCAAGTCAGGGGCACCCAACACAGTGCAGATGAATTCCAGGTCCAGCCAAACCAGGTGCCAAAGGAAGAAAGTGAGGAGTTTGGGGAGTCTCATCCTCTGGCCAGCCGCTGAATGGCACCACAGAGAACGGCGGCAGCAGCGGAGGTGCCTCTGGTTTGGCAGGAAAAACCATGAAAGGACTGGACCCTCAAAAGCAGCGGCGGCAGCAGTAGCAGCAGCAGGAAAGGCTTTCTCCTCAGTCTGAGACTCTTTAAGTCTGCCGGGTGTGTGTTTGTATCCAGTCCCATAGTGGAAATGCCCTCGTATCCAGACGTGCACCCGTCTCCAGTCAGCAGCTGAAAATAACTTGTTCTTGAAAGGAGAAAGCCGACCGCCCCCTTTCTCCTGCACAACTGACTGAGGGCTTGAAGGAGGCTTGTATAAGGCTGAGGGATTTTTCCAAGAAGGAAGAATGGCGTAATGCTGCCTGTGTGCTCCAGTTTTTTTTTTTTTTCTTTCTTCTTCTTCTTTTTTTTTTTTTTAGTTTTGAATCCTTTCCAGTGAAAATACTTCACACACACACACACACACACACACACGCCTGCAGGTGCTCAGAAAAATCTTTTACAAACCTGAACTCAGGAATTGGAAACGGAATTCCAACCCAAACCAATTTAATTACTCTCTGATGTCATGCTGTCTAAACTCATTTAAGTGCGATATATTTATGTGAAAAAAATCACCACTGCCCTTTCGAGGCTGTGGCTCACAGGGGCTCTTGGCACAGAGCCCCGCAGTGGGACTCGAGGCTTAGGGGCCTCCCAGTCCATGGAGCAGACTCAGGGGTCTTCACCTTTACCTCATGGAGCAGCCCACCCCACCTTCCTAAGGAGAGATGCTGAGAAATGAACTCCAGGATCTTAAACCCCAGAAGCATGGGGAGTTTGGGTTTTCAGTTAAGTCTTTGGAGTGTTTTTAAAGCAGTTATAGCCCCTGCATCTAGTCTGGGGCCTGATTTGTTTGGTGGGGCGGCACAGATGGCAGCATTTACCCAGTTTCTTTTATTTTAATAAACTTGTGGTGACCCAGAGACAAAGAACTATCAATGCCCACTGCGCCCTTCCCCCTAAATGCCATTGACTGAGTTCAAATTATTTCTTCAGGCTTGAGGGCATTGCCACCCCCTAAGTTTGCTCCTCAGAGGAAGCAGGTCCAGGGTGTACCCCACCACCACCCCAGCAAAGATGTCACTGGAGTTTTCTTGGAAAGGACTGGCTGAGTCCAGAGGTGGCAGATGCATCCTGGGGCAGCAGTGACCCCTTCAGGAGGCTGGAAAAGAGATTTCCCACATGCTTGTTTGTTGTTGCTTTTCTTGCAGCTCAGGAAGTCTGAACTCCAGCCCGCTGGAGGGGTTCAAGTACCCCACTGAAATACTGAAGCCCCCTCCTTTTGGGGAGCTTGCCCCACAGAGCCTCTGGACAACTCAACACAGTCACTGGAGGAAACTGTTCCCTTCACCTGGAATCTCCTCCTTTCACACTGACAACTGGAGGAGGTCCTCCTCATCCCAAGAAGTTCAGCTGAGAATCCACCTCCTCCAGGAAGCCTTCCCTGATCCCCAGACAGAGCCCATCACTTCCCCTCTTGTGTATCTCTCTACAACATCACCACATTGTAAAGAGTTGTAGCAGCAGTACAAGCAGTAGTCAGATAGGCTTCTTTCTCAGTCTGAGCTCCTCTGAGCTTGCCTAACAGGGGTCTATTTGCACTCTGAGGTCACCCGATTGGTTTCCTGCATAGCCTGGCATACAGCCAAAGCTCAGTGAGTATTTGATGAGTGAAATAAGATGAAATCCATGCCCAGGGTGTCCAAGCACCCAACCAGTCTTTTCATGATGACTTACGCAGGTCTCACAGGCGATCAGAGCACAGCTGCACCACTTGGCCATTCCAAGCTGCTTCTGGTGCTCTTAGATGAGGAAATGCTACCTCTCCATCTACAAGGGCCAACGAACCACCAAGCACTTTGGGGGGAGCTTTAAGGAAGGGCTATAGCAATAGACTCAAGTGTACCAATGATCATGAAGATGTATACTACTGGGTAAATGTTTTGTTCTGTGATACATGGGGTTGCCATGAATTGGACCCTATTTGATGGCAACTAACAACAAAAAGAAGGGCTGCATTAATTATTGTCACTTTCGTCACCCAGGTTCACAACCCTTGACTTCTCTTTTGACTTTTTGATAATGTTCCCCCATCCATTATTTCACTGGCAACCCCACTTAACCAGTTATCGGATCTAATATCCCTGATGTTTCTTCTTTCCCATCCACTGTCTCAGTCTTCCTCCCTATTTGTCCAAGTATAACTGGCTTCCAGGTTGCCAAGATCTCTCCAAGTCAGCTCTCAGTGGCTCCTACAGCCAAGCTCCTTGAGAAATTCACCTTGTCAGACGGGCTGAGAAACAACCCAGGAGCCACCACCTCCAAGAAGTCTTCTTCTTCCCCAGCAAATACACACTCCTTCTGAATTGCCACCACACATTTTCTGTGCCCCTTTTCACTTTAAGTAGTTCTGGTGGTTCAAACCCACCAGGATTTGTGCTCCACAGGAGGAAGATGAGGCAATTTACTTTCATAAAGATTTACAGCCTTGGAATCCCACTGGAGGTCGCTATGAGTCACAATCGACTCAAAGGCAGTGGGTGTTTTTTGTTGTTGTTGTTGTTGTTTTACTTTGGCAGTTCAACGATTATCCAGTCTGCCTCTGCCTCCTGTCTCCAACACACTTCATTTCTCCCTCTCTGAACTTTTCACTTATCTTTTTAAAATCACAACTTAATTCCTTATAACTTTAATACTTTATTTACATATCTGTCTCTCCCATTAGATTCTGACTAGACTATCTTATTTATCTTTCACTATTTTTATTGAAATCATTATTCCCAGTGTCTGACACAGGGCCCGGCATATAGCGGACTCTCAGTATGTGCTGTATGAATGAATGAACCTCTAACTGGTTCTTATATACAAAAGTCATAATTTTCTACTTTAAGGTGTAGTTATTTGTAAAGCTATTATGCTTTCTTGTTCGACTCTGAGTTCTTTAACGGGAGAGATTCTGTCTTGCTTATTTATTAGGCACTTTGTAAGCTTGAGGAAGGGATGAATGAGTTAAGCAAGCAAGAAATCCCTGCACATGGTTTGAGAGCGAGCCAGGGCTCTAGAGACAAATCAACCTGGTTTTGAATCCTGGTTTTGCTATTTACCCACTGTTCCATCTTCAGAAGTCTCTAAACCTCTCTGAACCTCTGAACAGGGATAATGACAGTACTTATCTCATCGGGTTATTGTGGTGATTTAATGAAATAAATCATAAAAAGTGATTAGCCTAGCATCTGGCAAATAATAGCTACTATTTACTGAGTGTTTACTCCAGTAATAAACTGGATTCTGGCCTATTATCCCATTGCATTTTTATCTTTATGTTCTCAACAACCCTAAGGTGGAAGTACTCTTAATACCCTCATCTTACAGAAGAAACTGAAGTTCAGAGAGGTTAAATTATTTTTCGGCCTAACTCTCACTTTTGCATATTCCATGCCAAAGAATCTTAATGTGGCTTCTAGAAACATAAGAACTGAACAGGTGGTGGGAGCAGCTATAATATTCTTGGTTTTCAATGAAGGTCTTATTCAGTGAGCCGAGACTTTGGGGACATGGCAGAGTCTCAGGTCAGAGGCTGTTGTGTGAGAACCAGGGCATCCTTAGATACTGGTAGGAGCAGGGAAAGGGGACTCTAAGCTTAAAGAAGGCCTTCTCAAGGGAGAAGCCCAAGGGACCTGCTTGGCTCTCACTATAAAGGTGACTAATCACTTCGGTCCCCTCTGGTAATTGCAACCAGATGCTGCTGTTGGCAGTGCTTCAGTCCCGACATGTTTAATTACTGGGACGCAGAGTCCCTGTGTCCCTTGAGTCTCCCTCACCTCCCCCTCTGCTGTCAGCAATATTAATGTCAAACTTGAGGCAGAGGATGGGAGCCTCAGGAAGCCACTGGCATGGAAATAATCTTTAAAATCCCTTCCACAATGTAGAGCCTTTAACTTTTATCAATGTTTTTCCCATCCATTACCTTTTTAGAAACCCACAAAACATCCTTATGAAGTTGGTAGGCCAGGACATTATCCCCATTTCACAGATGACCAAACAGTGAAGTGAATAATGATATTCCCTTGCTGTTTTCAAGCACTTTGCAATTGTCAAAGCGGTTTCACATTCATTATCCTACCTGGACCTCCCAACATCTCTCTCTGGGCTAGACCAGCATGGCACAGTGGTTAAGTACACAGACTCTAGGGCCAGACAGCTGCCTTTGTGTCCCGGCTCTGCCACTTACCAGTTGGATGATCTTGAGCTTTCGTTCATTTATTTACTTAATTATTAAGTAAATATTTATTGGATGTAGACCCCAGGCCTCAGCACCCATGGATACATAGAAATTGACAAGACAACCAAGTCTGTCCTTACATTCCGGTAGAAGACACAAACACACGCACAGTTTCAGAGAATGGTAAGTGCTGTAAAGAAAAACTCAGAAGTGTCAAAGGGGTGTCTATTCTCAATAGGCTGGGCAGGAAATGTCTCTTTGAGGGGGGTGACACTTGAGCAGAGACTTGACTATGGTGAGAAATGAGCCATATAAATGATCTGGGGTGAGCATTTAACCATTAGTTGCTGTCTGCTCCACACGGTCTTCAAGGCTGGGACCTTTCAAAAGCCAAGCTTGCCTTCTGAGGCACCCCTGAGTGGGTTCAAACCACCAGCCTTTCAGCTAGCAGTCAAGCACTTAACCGTCTGTACCACCTGACTCCACGTCAGGTGGAGGGAACAGCAGATGCAAAGACCTTGAGGCAGGAATGAGGTTGTCATCTCTGAGGAACCATGAGAAGCTGGCATGGCTGAACCAGAGTGAGCAAGAGGGACAGTGGCAGGAGATGAGGTCAGATCATGCCATGCCCGCACTGTGTATGGCCTTGGAATCCATGAAAAGGAAGCTGGATTTTACATTTAGTGCAGTGGGGAGCCCAATGGAAGGTTTTAAGCAGGAGAGCTGTCCAATCTATAACATCCCACTGCCTTCGAGTCAGGTCTGACTCATAGTAACCCCTCCTTGGGTTTCTGAGGAGATATCACTACGAAAGTAGATTGCCCAACCTTCCTTCGGAGGAGTGGCTGGTAGGTTTGAACTGGTTAGCAGTCAGATGCCTTAGGCACTACACCACCAGAGCTCCCAATCTATAACATAATGACTGAGAATTAGGCTACTTGCCTCTAAGAAATTTCAAGTAAGTTCATGGTTCTGTGCCACC